TTTCCATTCCAACTAAATTATCCACTTAAAACACACCCAATAGAGAGTTCTTCTAGAAGTAATTTCTTAGTCAAGAAGTACCATTCAGAACATCAAAAAATGGAATATTTTTAGAACCAGTGTTGCCTCAAAGAAATATGAGCGCTACATTATATCATGCTAATTTTTTTGTCGCCACACTTTATAAAATAAAAGAAACTAGTGATATTAATTTAAGTGTATATTTTATTTAACCCCAAATATACAAATATTGTCACTTTGATTTTTTAATCATTACAAAAAATATCAACGAGATGTTATACTCTTTCTTTTGTGTGTCATAAGTAAAATCCAGTGTGTATTGTTCACTTACAGCACATTCCAGTTCAGATTAGCTCCCTTTCAAGTGCTCATTAGTCACATGTGGCCGGTGGCAGTCACATAAGGCTGGCTGCTACCCTCAGAGCAGCACAAATGCAGGCCAGGTATGTGCTGAGATGTTACCTTCTCAAGATGCTTCCCAGACTGACTCTGTGGATCCTTGACTTGCTCTAACATGTCTCTGCTCCAACATTCTTTTAAAAATATTCAAAGATCTCAATTCTTTGTTGACTATAGCTGAGCTTTGACCCTTCAGCCTTGTCCTGCCAGACTTCTAAGAGGGAGGAGCCGGAGGGCTCAACTCCTCTGCACACTACCTGCTAATCCTACCACCTTCTTGATCCTTTGTTGCCCCCGTGAGGCAACTAATAGTACTGCACCACCAGCTTTGTCAGCCCTTGGGGCTGCAGCCTAATCAAGGCCTCAGGGAAATACAAAGAGGCAGATGTTCAGAAGACAAATCACAGCAAGCTGCAATAATGTCCACAGAGCTGGGCTCCGGGGTGCATGCCTGTAACCCCAGCGACTGGGGAGGCTGAGGCAAGAGGATCCCAAGTTCAAAGCCAGCCTCAGCAACTTTTCAAGCCCCTAAGCAACTTAGTGAGACCCTGTTTCAAAATAAAAATTCACAAGGGCTGGGGATGTGGCTCAGTGTTTAAGTGCACCCTGGGGTTCAATCTCTGATTCCAAATAAATAAATATAATAAATAAATAAACAAATATGTCCATAGTAATTGCTCTACTGCATTAGTTGGACAGCATAGTCGTGATGGAAAGCTTTGTGACACCCAATTTACCCTCATAATTTACTGTCGAGGATCCAGTGGTAAATTTGACATGTAGGAATATAACTTGTGGCATTTGATTGGGGATTAAGGTTTTCTCAATTAAGTCCTTTGGTGATTTAGGGTCACCATATCCTGGCTGGCACTCTTGGCTACTGTTATCTTTGGCCTTTGCTGATGCCCCATGGAGTAGCTGCGGTTTCTAGACTGGGGTTCCTGTCAACAGAAGCCAGCATTCCCTCCTTTTACACTGTCTCTGTTCCTACTTAACTGAAGATATGGAGTCCAGAAGGCTTTTTTGTAATACACTCTTAAAACTGCACCTTATCTTCATTCCCGATTTCTTTCACGCCTATCTCTGAAGAGATGAGAGTCCCACACCTGGTTTTACTCAGCACTGTATCCAAGTGCCTGTATCTACATTTGCTGAATGAATGCTGACTACAGTGACAGGGGAAATACAGCTGTCAAAAAATGTTGGGCTGGGGCAGAACACATGCTCAGCACGCCTGAGGCCCCGGATTCAATCTCCAGCACCATCAAAACCAAATTTTGTTCTTGGTAAAATATTTAGTGACTGGGCTATTCAGTAGGCTGAGGCAGGAAGACCTCAAGTTGGAGTCTAGCCTGGGCAACTTAGTCTGTCTCAAAGAGGCTGGGGGTATTGTTAAGTGCCCCGGGGTTCAATTCCCAATATCCCAAAAACAAAACAACAAACCTGTATCCAGGTTGATTGAAACTTTTTGTCAAAGCACACATATGTAAGTGGACAAAAAAGTAAGAAAGCACATCTCCATCTTTTCAGTATCATCTCAAGCAATAAGATTTGGTTGTTTTTGTTTGTCCTTCTTAGACTTTCCTATACCTTCCAAATTTCCAGGGTATCATTTTTATTATTTATGTATAAATAATTGCTAGTATCTGATTTCTAAATACCACTTCCCTTGACCATTCTCCTCTACCTTCTGTTGACAGGTCTCACCACTAGTGAAACCAATTTCTATCAACATCCATTGGTTACTCACGCCTGTAATCCCAGCAGCTCGGAAGGCTGAGGCAAGAGGATCTCGAGTTCTAAGTCAGCCTCAGCAACTTAGTGAAGCCCTAAGCAACTCAGTGAGACCTGTCTCTAAATAAAATACAAATAGAACTGGTTATTGTGGCTTAGTTGAGCACCCCTGTGTTCAATACCCAGTGCCCAAAATAAAACAAACAAGAAAACACACTCCACTGGTTAACAGATTTTCAGGCATATTTTCAATTTGAACATTAAAGTTATATATAATTAAGAAATCTGGAACATGACTATTTGTCACACACAGCAGAGTGACTGTGCTTAAGGTACCTGTATGGAATCCTATCTTATCTACATTAACTCTGCCACTCTGGTGAATTTTTTTTAAATATTTTTTTAGTTGTAGATGGACATTTTATTTATTTATGTGGTGCTAAGGATCAAATTCATGTGCCTCACACTTGCTAGGCGAGTGCTCTACCCCTAAGGCACAACTTCAGCCCTACTCTGGTGAATCTGTAATACAATGTTTGGCAAAAAATAAAGCACATCAGATAAGAAGTGCTAAAAAGTCAGAGCTATAAGGATTAAAGACTATTATTATTATTTATTTTGCAGTATTTGGGGAATCAAACCCAGGGTCTAGCACATGCTAGGCAAATAAATACTCTACTATGAAGCAACATTGCCAATACTTTTTATTTTGAGACAGGGTCTCTCTAAATTGCCCAGGCTGGCCTTGAACTTGTGATCCTCGTGCCTCAGCCTTCCAAATAGCTGGGATTATAGCATGTGTCACCATGTTCAGCAAGACAATTTTGAGTTTTAAAAAGCATTTAGTAGAAATCTTTCTTTGAAAGATCTTTGAGTGTGTGCCATGCACTTATATATATATGTATATAAATGAGCATACATCTAGATTGTTCCTATTATGAGGATAAAATAGTGATAGGCGTAGCTACAGTTGTGAACAGGTAAATTACTTGGACTAACATCTCTGTGGGTTAGGTTTCTATTTGCACAGGAGTCCCTTTATTTGGGAACTCTCTCACAGGTACATCTTTCAGGCTACCTTCTGTGGTCCTCTGACCATTAACTGTTCATGATGCCAAATCCCTGGCTTGACCTAGGTCAGCATGAAAGCTTTGGTCCTATCTCTTTGTGCTTCTACTTCCCCACTCACCCACACAGACTATTACATTCTTTTCTTGTTTCCTCCAGACTGCTAATGATAACTTTGAATACCTACGTTGGACATCATAACCCTGTGTAGGCAAGGGCAAGGCAGTTAATGAATCATGGTTCAGATCCTCTGTTATTTAAAGTACAAAATGAAATAAAAGGCATTTTTAGAAAAGTCTGAGAATAATTCAATTGCTGTAAAACAATGTATACCTTCTATCTTTTTTTTTTTTTGAGAGAGAGAGAGAGAGAGAATTTTTTAATATTTATTTTTTAGTTTTCGGCGGACACAACATCTTGTTTGTATGTGGTGCTGAGGATCGAACCCAGCGCCCCACGCATGCCAGGCGAGCGCGCTAACGCTTGAGCCACATCCCCAGCCCTATATCTTCTATCTTGAGACTTTTAAAAAAGTTCTTCCAATGAGGACACACATTACATGAAAGATTGACTATATAAGATTATCTCATTTAAGATTCTTTGGGTACAAGTTACAGAAACCAACTCCAGCTCCTGCAGGAGAAGCGGGCGTTATCACATGGCAGGACACTCTTGCGCCTGGCTCTGGGAACGTGAAAACAGAGACAAGGACACCTGTGGTCTCTCTCCTATTTGCATCTCTGCTTTTTTTTTTTTTTTCCTTTCTGCGGATCAGTATTCTGTTTCTCAGATGTCTAGGTGAGATGTGGCTGCCCCAGAGCTCCTGGTCCATGTTACAGTTTCACCCTCTCTGCATTCAGCTTACTGTTTTACTGTTTCAGCCCCAAGTCCAAAAATCTCAAAAGAGAATCAGATTGGCCCAGCCTGGGTCAGTGGTCCACTCTTGTTTCACTCAACTGGCTGTGGTATGTGTGGGTATGTGTGGCTCTGAGCCCACACTGTGGCCTGGGGGCAGGGCTCGGGGAAATGAGAATTTTTTTTTTTTTTTTTTTTTTTGATACTGGGGATTGAATCCAGGGACACTTAACTTGTGATCCACATCCCCAGCCCTTTTTGTATTTTACTTAGAGACTGGGTCTCACTGAGTTGCTTAGGGCCTTGGTAAGTTGCTGAGGCTGGCTTTGAACTTGCAATCCTCCTATCTCAGCCTCTGGAGCCACTGGATTATAGGCATGTGTCACTGTGCCAGCTCTTCTTAGTTTGGGGAAAGAAAACATTTGTCCCATATAGGTTGGTTTAATTAAGTTTTAAAAAATCTGTTTCTTGATTTTGTTACGTGTAGAGAAAATGTTACAGTGAATTCTAGGATTTCAGGATAAGATGGTTGCTTATAGTAAAAGCTCATCTTTTGCATAAGCTTTGTACTACTTTGAACCCTATTAAATCGTTACATTTCTTCCATGATTCTAAATTTCATAAAAATGCGAATTTTTCCAGTCAGTAGGTTATATGCATTATTTATTTTATCTTTTAATTATACAAGGAATACATGCTGACTACAAAAAAATATTCTTAAAAATCTTTAAGACTCACAGGTTAACATTTTGCCCCCAGTTATATACTCCTCTGTAAAGGAGCTACCTTAACATTTAAGTACGAGTTTTCCCCTAAAAATTTATATGCACTTTTTGAGCAATGATCTATGATTTGACTTATGAGAAATTTAAAAAATTTTAAAACACCTATTTTTAAGGCTTAGCATGATTTTCAAAACCACATGACTTATTTTAGTTATATTTCATTTACTTTTCGGTAAGTAGATACAATTTTTCAAAGATGTAGTCAATTCCCCAAGTTTTATGTCTTTCTTCAAAAGTGTCGACCTTCTCAAGGCAAAGAATATTGCATTTTGTACCTAAAACGAGAAAGGGTCACACGTCAAAATTCTGTGAAGCAATAGTTAAACTATAGAACCAGCCCAGGTGTCCATCAATGGACAGATGAATAAAGAAACTGTGGTACATATACACATGGAGCTTATCCAGCCACAATGAAAAGAGAAATCATGTCATTTGCAGGGAAATGGATGGAACTTGAGAATATTATATTAAGTGATATCAACCAAACTCAGAAGGTCAAGGGTCGCATTTTTCTCTCATATGTGGAAGCTGGGGAGGAAAAAGGAGAAGAAAGGTGGTGGTGGTGGGGGGTCTCATGAAAATCAAAGGGAGATCAGTAGAGGAAAGGGACCGAGGGGAAGGAGGAGGAGAGGAAAGGGGGAGTGCCAGGGAGTGACGCTGGACAAATTATACTGACACATTGTGTGCACACGTGTGAATATGTTACAGCAGGCCCTGCTCTTACATACAACTATATAACGCACCAATAAAAAATGTGGGGAAAAACTGAAGAATGTCATGAGGGTGCTTCTAAAAACACTTCACATGATTTTAAAGGGAGTGTGCACTGAGGCTCTTTCTCTTCTGTTTAATGCAAAATAGGAAATGCTAAGGACAAACTCTGGGCTCTGAATTGTTATCAATTAAAACTCCCAAGAGCAACAGTTAACATACCACCTCTGTAGAAGAGTTCAAATGTTTTAACACCAAGCGTATAGCCAAAAAGCCATGTTATAGAGATTGGTTCCTTTTCTAGGAGACAACGGTTTTCAATAAAATGGTCTTTGTCTTTTAAATTTCATAGGCTTTAATCACATACTAATAGTTTACTAACAGCTCAAAACAGTTAACCGTGGACTTAAAAAGTTAGAGCCTAACTTACCAAACAACCTTTGAATTTCAGTATCTGGCACATAAAATGGTGGGCCTAGGAAAAAGAGAAACAGGATGAAGAATGATTCCTATAAACCCGACTCTGAAGAGCAATGAGCGCCCCAGGCCTACCTCCACCTGTTCCCCGTGGCCCAGTTGTACCTGCTCTATACACAACTCCGTCATCCAAATAGGTGAGGATGTGCATGTTCTGTTTTTTTTTTTGTTTTGTTTTTTGTATTTTTTTTTTTTTTTTTGCATATCTCATACAAAGAAGAAAACTGGGATATTGAGGGAATGACCTTGTTACATATCCATTCGAGTGTAGATAAAATAGAGGCTGAGCCAGCATGGATCTTGAGAACATGGAAATCAGGGTGGAGTCCATTAGTAAATTCCTTTGGGGTTTCTTGTCTTCTGGGCACTGATTTTCTACCTCCTGCACCCACTCACTTTCTGTATGCTCCTCCTCCTCCGCTGTGGGGCACAGAGTTTACTAGGAACCTTCCCTTTGCCTTTTAAGAGAGACTCCACCCCTAGACAGAGCCCGCTGCGTCTCCTTCCCACGGGCCCTTCTGAGGCCTCTGTTCATGAATGGAATTCAGATCAGGTTAGCAGAACTAACTTCTGCCTGCAATAGCTTCTATTTCCATCCAACTGTCTCAGACTTAATTAGGGGCACTGGATCTCATCTCTTAATGAGTTTTTTTAGACCTAATTTATTCAGACAGAAAAAAAAAGACTAACATATGCAAATATTTATATAACAAGGCTCTTTTTAAAAAACTCGACTAAAAATCCAAAAGGGGATTCTTAAAAATTAAAAGCCTATGTATTTGGTTTTCACTTCTCCCTGAAAATTAAAGTCCGGACATGACAAATGTTAAGTTTCAGTGTCCAGACAAAATGAGTCTAGGAGAAAACACCCCGTTCATAGATTCAAAACAAGGGAGCCATAATGGGATGCAATAGATAAATTGTAAAGTTTAGGTTTAGAGATTTTCTGCCCACCCTATCACTTCTTCCCCAGCTGGTCCTGTGAGGGGGCACCTGTGTGTGTGCATAAGCACCTGACTGGCGCACTGCCACACCACGATGGTATGGCTATGCAGTATCCATGGCAGGGTGACCAGATCTCCCCTTCCTTCCACTCCAGCACTTACGAGGTTTCTCTTGTATATTAGGATCGTCCATTTTCCTTTTCAGCTATAGTTTGAGTATAAATAGTATATAAAATGTGAAAGGAATATACGAAAAACATGTATAATATGGGAATACAAAAAAAATGATCATTCCCATTAGCCCAAAGTAGAATTATCTTCATGCATACAAGTAATATGTTTCTCTTGAAATAAATTAGACCCAAAAATTCTTATTCATGTCAGAGAATTAAACAGAATATTAGGGGGAAAAAATAAAACCAGCTTTACCTGCATGTTTTGTTGGATCATAAGAAAGAACAGCCAGGAGGTACTGAAACCTTTCTCTCAGTAGGGACAACATGATATCCACATAGCTAAAGAGGACACAGAAAGGTTTAGGATACATTCCTCTGGGGACCTGAGGCAGGGCAGGAAGCCCGCGCTCATTTTCATCAACACACCCAAGTTAGTTCTCATTCTAAACGCAGGAAATGGGTCCAGCAAATTATGGCCCTGTCTAAAGTGGGCGAGGAAAAAGAGCCAAGTTGCAGGCTGCTCCAAAGGACTGCGTTGCCACAGTGCTCAAGGAGGTGGCTCCCAGGCCAGGTCAGGGCTCAGTGTCACCCGGGCACGCACTCACTGAAAGGACAGATGCTGAGCTCTGTCCACAGGTTGACTCAGCAGGTTTGCTGTGAGGCCGAGGATGCTGCAGTTTAACAAGTGTCCTAGGTGCCTGGCCCCTCCTCCAGGGCATGTGTAGGAGATTCAAACTCAACCCTTTTCCTCTAATCTGCTGGGAGAGACAAGACCTCCATGCAGGTAAAACACTCAAGGTGGGGCTGGGAAGAGCACATGCCTGAGGCCCTTGGTTTGATTCCCCAGCACTGCCAACACAAAAGAAAAAAGAAGAAAAAAAAACATTAAAGTGGGCACGGTGGCACACACCAGAAATCCCAGGGGCTTGGGAGGCTGCGGCAGGAGGATTGCAAGTGCAAAGCCAGCCTCAGCAATGGAGAGGCCCTGAGCAACTCAGTGAGACCCTATCTCTGAAACACAAAATAGGGCTGGGGATAGGGCTCAGTGGCTGAGTGGCCCCGAGTACCCGCCACTCCCGGCCCCCAAAAAGCATTCAAGGTGGCATGAGATTAAAGTCCTCCAACTGTGACCCAAGCCATGAGTGCTGCTGGAATGGTCCTTGCAGGGAGCAGGTGACACCACTTTCCAGCTATGTCTTGGTCCAGAGGGGGGACAGGACCCCAATTGGCCCATCAGTAGATGAACCAGGAGCCGGGGCTGGGCCTGGGGCAGGATGGTGAGGGGAACAACCAGGTGGCTCCACTTGGGAACGGAATTAGGAGAGGAGGAAAGCTAGGCGGTGGTGCTTGGCAAGCGTGCATTGTGCTGCTGTGCACAGTGTGCTGCTTTATCAGAGAATCTTACTCACGGTAAGAATCACACCATGCCACGCCCTGGGGAAAGAGCCGGACATGCCACACCTGGTCTGCCCTTGCCTGCCCTTGACATCCAGTTTGCTCCTCATTGCCTTGTGGGTTTCACCAGGCAAACCAATGCCTCAAAGAAGAGGAGGCACATCCTGCCAGAGTGAGAAGTTTTGACATTTATCAGAATTGAGTTTAGTACCTGAGAGTGGTGTTTTATGGAGAAGAAAGCGTCTCAGGTGATGCTCTGAGTTGATAAAGGACACTTGAGTCCCATGTGAAAGGCAAAGCAGACATTGGAACTGTGGTGTAGATATTTGGGGGAAAGAACAGGGCTGGAAATATAAAAATCATAAGGGCAAAGGCCAGGTACAATTTATTCAGTCATTTCCCCCAACACTGGACATAGTATAAATTTAGAACATAGTAGGAACTGAAGAGTTAAATAAGGCACTTTCCACATATTTAATTTCCGTTAACACCCATGCTTTGAGGTGGTCAGATCCGTAGGGTGTGGATTTTAAAGCCACAACAATGAGGGTTAGAGCTCAGCTCCATCTGTACTAACTGATGAGTAATTTAGTCTCCTTGAGCTTGGTCTCCTCATCACTGTAATGGAGTAAAGACAACGCATCCCTCCCAGACCTTCAGATGGACTTATGGTTTGATCTGGAGTGTCCCCCAAAGCTCACGTGCTGGAGTCTTGGTCTCGAATGTGGCAATGTTGGGAGGAGGGGCCTTTGGACGTGACTGGATCACAAGGGCTCTGACCTCGGTGGGTTTATCGTGTATGAATTCATAGCTTAATGGGCTACTGCTGGTGCTGGGAGCTTCAGGAAGCTGGGCCGGTGTGGAGGAAGTAGGTCGTTGTGGGTGTGCCCCTGAGCTGACCTCAGCCCCTTCTCTGTCCTCTGTGCTTCCTGACTAAGATGAGGTGAGCAGTTTTCCTCCGCCACATGCTTTGTCATGATGTTTGCCTTACCACAGGTGTACGGGCAATCTGGCCAAGTGACCATGAACTGAGACCTTTGTGAGCCACAGTAAATCCTTCTTCCTTTGAATTGATTTATCTCAGGCATTTTGTCCCAGCAAAAGAAACCTGGCTAATACAGGTGAATTAAATATGTCAAACAACACCTGACAGAGGGCAAGTATCCAAGAGGTGTTACTGGGCCATATTAGTGAGGCAATGAGGATGGTGTGCAGCGATATTCCATGTTTGCAGAGGAGTAAACACAGAGGCCAAGAGAAGTTGAGTACTTTGACCAGGGCAACACAGCATAAAAGTGACAGAGCCACAGCCTTATACCTAGGTTCCTAGAGTGAAATCCTATAGTTTCCTGAAACTCAGTGGGTTTGTAAAAAAAAAAAAGAAAGAAAGAAACAAAAAACAAAATCCAAATCACTTACCATTTTCGATCACCTGGATTAATGGCCACTAATGCTCCTCTATCCCAAATCCTGTCAAATTTGCCAATATTTGCTCTACCAGAAAGACAGAGGGAGAAATTGCAACATTTTATGTATGAAAAGTCAAATCCTGAACAAGATGTACCAGTTCCCCATGGCACACGCTGGTGCCTCACCCAGCATCAAGGGATTAGGATCTCAGGTCTGCTTTTCTTCACGGACTCCAGGGGTATGCTGATCCGGGTGTGGGGGGGCTGTCCATTTCCTTATAGTTTAAGAGCCTGTGGCAGCGGTTTCCCTATTATTTTATGACTCAGAAACACAAGGAGAAATGAAGGACAATGTCTGACAACTCTGCTCCCAGCCTCTGGCTCAGCTATCAGAAATTTCAGATGGGATCTTGTTTGTTGGTGAACCTAGCCGTTCACTTCTGCGCAGGCCAGGAGCAGGGTAGAAGACACTATCTCACTCCCCCTACCTTTTCCTATTTGCCTGGGTTTGGGAGCTATCTCCTAGTTTGGGAGCTCTCCGAGAATATTAATGGACAGATAAGGAGTCTATAAGAAAAATAACTGCAGAACAGAGATTCAAATCAGTGCCTCATGGAGTTTACACCAACAGGCAGAAGTGACGAGAAGACCCCCAGCCCCTGGCCAGCACCCACTGTTTTGAAAGCATAGATGTAGAATTCAGTCTTACCTGGGAAGGTCAAAAATGCTGCAACAGTACAATGAAATATTCCCGGAAGAACTCTGTAATGAAACAATGAAAAAATTTTTTCTACTTAGTTAAGGTGTATTTGAATGCCAAAGAAGAAAAAGAAATTCCAAAAAAGCAAAGGTGGCAGAGAGAGAATGAAATACATAGTAAACACAGCAATTTTAATGTAGTTTAATTTACAATTAATTAATTTATAATTAATTAATTTAATGTACCTTATTTACTCTTTTAAAACCTGGGTTGGGTTCTTTAGGACCAACTCAAAGAGGAAAATCATAGAGTACAACCCTAAAGATCAGTGAGGTATTATATTTATATATATATTTAGTTGTAGATGGACACAATACCTTTATTTAATTTATTTATTTTTATGTTGTGCTGAGGATCAAACCCAGTGCCTCACACATGCCAGGCGAGCGCTCTACCACTGAGCCACAACCCCAGCCCTGACATATTATATGTTTTGAGGTAAAATTCTAGTAATGCTTACTTGAGTAGGGTCCTGACATTTTTGCCCTGCTATAGATAAATTTGCAGCTCAATCAGGCCTGCTGATATAGACAGATTTTTTTATTTATTTATTTTTTAAAATTTTTTTAATATTTATTTTTCAGTTTTCGGCGGACACAACATCTTTGTTTGTATGTGGTGCTGAGGATCGAACCCGGGCCGCACACATGCCAGGCGAGTGCACTACCGCTTGAGCCACATCCCCAGCCCAAGACAGATTTTTTAATTGGTGCATTATGGTTGTACACAGTGATGGGATTTGACTTACCTGTTTGTACTTGCACCTAATATAACAGTACAATTTGGCCAATATCACTCCACAGCAGTTCCCCCTTCCCTTCCCTTCTCCCACCCCCTGCTCTGATCTCCCTCCATTTTTCATAAGATCCACCCCCCACCACAACCTTCTTTCTCTTTTTCCTCTCTAGCTTCCATATATGAAAGAAAACACAACCATTGACCTTCTGAGTTTGGCTTATTTCGCTTAACCTAATGGCCTCAAGTTCCATTCACTTTCCTGCTAGTGATGTACTCTCATTTTTCTTATGGCTGAATAAATACCACATTTTCTTTATCTATTCATCTATTGACAAATACGTAGGTTGGTTCTATAGTTTGGCTATTGTGAATTGTGCTGCTATAAACATGGTGTGCATATACCTCAATAGTATGATGATTTTGATTCTTCAGGATAAATACCAAAGAGGGGGATAGCTGGTCATATGGTAGTTCCATGCCTAACCTTTTGAGAAACCTCCATACTCTTCTCCACAGTGGTTATATTAATGTACAGTCCTACCAACAGTGTGAAAGTGCATTTATTATTGTTTGTTCTCTTGATGACTCCACTCATACATATTTAAAATGTTATTCAGGAAAAGTGTGTTTGTGCTGCCTCCCCCATTTCTCAATCACTCCACCATGAGCACTTGTTGACTGAGCACTTGGGTGATAGGAGGGGACCTATCCTGAACTCTAGGTAATGCATGTGAGTTTGACTCAGTCTCTGACTGCAGAGAAACAGGATGACAGAGAAACAGATGGCCAGTTTGGTCATGGTGTGTGCCCGAGGACATTGTGAACACAGAAGACAGAGCAAGGGGCTTTCCGGGATCCTTGGGGCAGGTTGAACAAGAGGGAGCCTCAGATGGCGTCTTGATGTATCTGCTGACATCAAAGTGGGGGGCTGGGGGTGCACTCCAGGGAGAGCAACACGATGCAGACCTGAGAAGTCTGGGAGCTGGGAGTGCGGGGGAGGGCCGTGTAAGAAAGGTGCATCAGGATGCACCAGATTCGACCGGAACCAAGGCACCAGTACAGGTTCCCAAGTAGAGGAGAGAAGGTCTTGAACACCAGCTTGGAAGCTCTGTGGGGGTCGTCCAGAGGGTAGGGGATGCTGGAGGCTGGAAAAACAGCCAGTGGATCTCTACTTTGGTTGCAGACTGGAATCCCTGGGCAGCTTTAACCAGTATTGACGCTCCTGCCCCAGAAGACTCCAATTTAATTGACTTGGGTGAGACTTGGGAATTTTTAAAAGACTCATGGATGATTTTAAATGTGCAGCCAGGGCTGGAAAGCACTGCCCTAAGAGGGAGTCTGGAAGCAGGCCTAGCTTCTTTGGACTAAGCAAACTCCCAGAATTCCTACATGATTGAGAACGGGTTGGAGGTGGGGTAACTTTAAAGCAAAGTGTTATCAAGTCTTGTACTGAACTGAGCAATAAATTTCAATATTTAGAAGAGAATTTGTGAGAGACTGGGTATACAAATGGACAACAGCCAGGCCATTTATGACAACATGACTCTGAACCACAACCTGGATCTACCTGGTTAATGACTGCCAGCTTCCCTGACACCTACCACCAGCCCCTCCAACTCTGACCTACCACAGCAAATCAAATACACTCCCCAACCAGCCACACAGGATGGCCATCCTAGATGCCCACCTCGCACATCCCCAGGCCAACAGCCTCCGGTCAGTACACACCAGGAGGCCTTTCCCCCACTATCATGTTTTCCTGCTCTTCTGCAGCCTTTGAGTCTCTGCTAAACACAAGTGGCTGACTCCCTCTTAAAATCAGCCTCTGCTGTCATCTGGGTGGGTTTGTTTATTTCTCTATTATTACTGCAAACTAGAGGCATTGTTCCACTGGATCAGGGTGATGACAACCCCCAAAGCCATCGTCTCCAGCCCTAACACCACCCCTTTCGTATCCTTCAACTCATCATCCCCAGAATAGAACTCATTTTCTCTGCTCTTCAACTTGCTGCTTTATTCTCTACCACCTGACTAGTTAGTTACCCGAGCTAGAAATGGAACCCATCACCCCCTTTATCCCCGCTCAGTCTCCAAACCCTGCCAGTGACACTGCAAATGTTGCTTTAATTCATCCTGTATGCTCTCCATGCCTCATTCTCCTCCCCCAGGCCTTTGAGATCTCCTTCCTGGGCCACTGCCACACCCTCCTATTGAGAGGCTACCTCCCTTCAAGTAAATTCCCATGAAGGCGTAAAGGTGATCTATCTCTAATGGAAATCTGGCCCTGTCCTGATGCTACTTAAACCCCACTGTGCAGAAGCAGTGCTGACTTCCGGGGGCATCTGAGATCAGGGACTCAAGCCTTGCCTTTTCCCAGGCTTGTCACCATGAGTCAGTGTGTACCCCAAGCTGGGCTGGGTCACTCCCTGTCATTCCCTTAATCCCCTAGGTCTTTAAGTTTGTTCCATGCATTATGTAGTTTCGTTTCTGTTTCTTTTTTCTCCTAAGCTAAGAGATTTTTTAGGGCAGAGACTATATCATCTTTTATTTCTTCAATGTCTGATACACAGGTTTTGCCACCTAATAGATTCTCAGAAAAGGACTATTAATTTAAAAAGAAGGAGGAGAAGGAGAAATAGAAAAATAAAAGGTTAGGGGTATAGTTCAGTGTTAGAGCATTTGCCTAGCATACATGAGGCCCTGTGTTCCAGTCCAACACCTAGTGTGTATGCGTGCATGCGTACACGTACACACACACACACACACACACACACA